AATTTTTGGTATAGTAGTTGTGACTTATTCACACTATATACATTTGGCTTCCGCAACACATAAGACTCGTCTTCTTCACTTTAGCATACCACAATTTTTCCAGTTGTATCAGGGACTAGAAATACAAAAAGCTCTGTAGAAGATGGTGGAAACTAAAATAGGCAACTCCCAATTCATAATTGTTACAGTGTAGTTGTATCTACCTCCGCTATCGTATATTTATACACTCTCTCAAGTGAAAGGGGATAGATGGCTTCTGTTTAATGTTCGCCATTGACACTTAGTAGGTATTGATTAAACCAGAAACGCAATGCACTACTCGTTAATCAATATTTGACCGTGAAAGATTGACAAGTTCTGTAACTTGGATAGATCTGACAGCTTTCCTTCTCTAAAAGCAACTTGTTAGCACTTCTTTAATTGTCTATAAATTTTTCCTCTTCTTCAAGAGTATATTTCACAGCAAAATAAATTGGAAAGGCAGGAAAAAGATGAGACCCCTTCTAGGAAAGCAAAGAGGCAACTGTTCCTGGCTGTAAGTTATACCCAAAGAAGTTGGTTTTCTTTAACCCATTACAATTGCAACTTTTATGGTCAATATCTTTTCTCTTTCTTGTTTCAGGACTTCCCGAAGTTCTTTGCACATAACACTCCGGAGCCTGCTATTAACATCACCAAACACTCTCCTGCAGTCCATGGCTCAAATCACTTGGCAGAATCTGTTAATAGTCAGAAGTCTGTAACTGATGTTGTTGTGTTAGATAATGCGTCCTCTTCCACATCACCACTTTCATCTGATGAAGTAAGTTCACTTTCTTAGTCTTATCTCAAGCACTACACAAGCGTATTTTATATTACACACTTATGTATGTATGTATGCATTTATATGAAGAATGACTTCCCAGCATTAGCTGCTAGGCTTGATAGAATGGAGGTTTGGAAACTGGAACTGAAAACATATATTTTCAAGGATATGTATGAATTTGACTTAAATATAGGAACAAAATTTGCAGTCAAATTCTGTAATCGGTTTAAGTTGCCGAAGATGTTGCATTTCATTCCTAACCTTTTAATAGTGGTTGGAAGTAAAATGGTGAGGTCATCCCTTATGTGGCTGATTGATTAGTCTATCTTTGAAGTTTATGTGTTCCTATGGCTACCTAAAGCTAATTCTACAATAATAATTGGAGTTATATCCACTAATTTAGAGTACAGGAAGATCTTAGAGTAGTGCTGATGAGGAAAGTGAGTACACTTGCTTCAAGTAAAAGGACTTCTTTTAAAAAAGAAACTTTCTTTTTTACTAGGATGATGCACCTATATTATCTTTGCAGAAAAGTAGGAGCAAAGATTCTGTTAGACGAGACTTAATTGGTGATCATTCCAAAATAAGTGATGCTGAGGACTTCTTTGCTCGGGTCGCAACACAGCTCCAAGATGCTAAATCCCCGGGAATTGATGTCAAGTCACCTGCACTAAGAATGTCTCGATACTCAGCCCAAGTACTTAACAAAACCAAAGCTGAAGTTCAGAAGCTACTTATGATGCCTTTGCACGATATAGTTCTCCCTGAAAACTCTTCAGTTTTAGTGGCTGCCCTTCCTATATATGCTGCATCACCCAATCTCTCGGTTGAGAAAGTACGTGCTTTGAAGGAACTCGAAAAGAATCTCCCATCTTTATTCTCTGATTTTCATCAGGCGAAGAGGCAGCAGAAAGAGTATACCAGTAAGGTTGCCAAGAAGGTAATCCTGATCGACGAGCTTACTAAAGAACAGGACCTTTACAATGATCTCAAACACCACCGCAGTAGAATTGATACTTCTATAAGTTCCATCAGGACTCAAATTTCAGAGTTGAAGACGAAGATAAAAGAAGAAAAGATGAAACGGAGAGCCATTCAGGAACAAGAATTAAATTTGAAAAACAAAAATTCTCCCAAGTTAGCTGCATTAGAAAAACTGGGAGCTGAATTTCTTGATTCGGAGAAACAACTAGCTGATTCTCTGGCTAGCAAAGCAGAAATTAGTTGGGCAGACTACCAACAAAAGATAATTGGCTTGGGAATGTGAAGTAGTGTTGAAGCCTTTAATGTGAATTAGAGCAGAACTGCTTTAAGTAATGCATGTAAATAATATCTTTTGCTATCTTCTGAACTTGCTTTTGTGAATAGTCTGGACATAAATCTGTAACTTTGTTACTAACAACAACAACCACCCAGTATAATCCTACCAGTGGGGTCTGGGGAGGGTAGTGTGTACGCAGACCTTATCCTTACCCTGGGGTAGAGAGGTTGTGTCCGATAGATCCTCGGCATCCCTCCCTCCAAGAACTCCTTATGTAAATGTGAAGGTTTCATGACTTCCGTTATATATCAAACACTAGGAAAAAAAATAGTTGAAACAGGTAATATGAAATTAAGAGTTAGTAAAATAGTTGTAAAGAAAATAACGTGCAATTGTAAGTGGGGAAGTCATGACTTCTGATATATATCAAACACTGGGGAAAAAAATTTCATCGAAAAATGTTTTCCTTCCTACCAAATAAATCCTAGGGTGAAAAGAAAATGAGTAAATCAACGTATTCTTCATATATGCTGATCACGCCCAACTATGCCTTATCAAAAGGACAAATCGGTCACTTCAAATATATTCCGGTTAACAAGTTCGGAGTCGAATCCCACAGGGAATTAACCTATCGATCACAACTATTGGACTCACAAAAATTCACATATTCAATCTTCAGAGATATTTGAATAACAAATTGGGTGTTTATTAACTAGATATTACGTAGTAAAAATGCAGTTATTAACAACTAGCTATAAACTGATTGTAAGCAAGAATGAGAATGGCCTAAGGTTATGATTTCCTCTCTTGTCGGAATCCTTCCTGCTATGTTTGATATAAATTTGCGTAAGTCTTCTCTATCGATCATGAGCACTATGACTATCGTAACTCTCTCCCGAGTAATTACAAGAATATACTAGACATATTCTCTCGAATTACGCTAGCTGGCCTTAGTTACAACTCACTTAGATCGCACCCAAGGTTTCGTTATTCCTAGTCCCACCTTTAAACCCTTCGTATTGATCCCTCATATACGTTAGGAGTGATGTTGTTCAACAACTACCTAAATATACACTCTCTCCCGAGTAATGCATACTAAATAGGCACAGCCGATTGAGGGCCCTTCAATCAACAACAATCACAATATAGTTGAACAAATAGAGAAATTATTAGGGCAAATCTATATTAACATACCGCGAAATTCATCCTCCAAGAGGTTCCATCAAAACCCTAGATTAAAAGTTTAGCTACGCATAATCATTTTCACAATCATAATGATATATTTCATTCTCAATGATAAAAACAAGAAGAAGAAAGGTAAAAACTCTATGCTGAATCTTCCGCCTTACTTCTTGCCTGCTCTTGCCTTCAAAAACACTTCAAAAACCTCCATATCTTCTATTTGGACGAGTTGGGCTTCTTATAGGTCAAGGAGAGTCATCCTAGAAATTACACAATTGACCTTTCAATATTTGGCTCCGAGCACCCTGTCCGCGTGTTAGGACCGAAAAAATCAGGTGTCATGCGAAAGCTAGTAAAGCAAACCTTCAACGATGATAAATCAGACAACAAAAGAGAAATATACCCAAAAGAGACACAAATATTTAACGTGGTTCGGTCAACTGACCTACGTCCACAACAGAGATGAGCAATCCACTATATAAAAGAGAGTACAAAATATTGAGAGAACAACCTCACGAAGAGGCAAACACAAGTGACACACTAACACTTGTCCCGTAAAGTTCTCCCCCAAAACACGTCTCTCAAACCTCATATATGGCTACATTGTGGATGTTGCTGAATGAAAAGGAAGGATCCTCAATTTATAGAACTCCAAACCTTTTCCTACAAGAAAAAGGACTAGCCAAATATAGGAGAATTATAATTTCCGTCAACAAAAAGGAAAACCCAATTAAGGTAATTATATTGTCCTTTTCCTTCAAGAGATAGGAGAACCAAATATGGTAAGAAATCAGGATAAACACCTAACAATTCTCTCCCTTGGCCTGAATTTTCGGACAAAATAAACTTGATCCACCTTCTTCACATAACCATCAACAGGTCGCATATCCAAATCTCCACCGCAAAAGTTTGTCTCAACGTGCGTAGCACACCGGTCAAATTTCTCAGACAAAAATCACGATTACCGTCAAATATGTTGCGGCTAGAACTAAATCCGCCAAGATGAACCTGTCTTGAACCTCACTCTGATACCACTTGTTAGGACCGAAAATACCGGGTGTCATGCAGAAGCTAGTAAAGCAAACCTTCAACGACGAAAAATCAGACAACAAAAGAGAAATATACCAAAAAAAGACACAAATATTTAACGTGGTTCGGTCAACTGACCTACGTCCACAACAGAGATGAGCAATCCACTATATAAAAGAGAGTACAAAATATCAAGAGAACAACCTCACGAAGAGGCAAACACAAGTGACACACTAACACTTGTCCCGTAAAGTTTTTCCCCTAAACACGTCTCTCAAACCCCATATGACTACATTGTGGATGTTGCTGAATGAGAAGGAAGGATCCTCAATTTATAGAACTCCAAACCTTTTCGTATAGGAAAAAGGACTAGTCAAATATAGGAGAATTATAATTTCCTTCTACAAAGAGGAAAACCCAATTAAGGTAATTATATTGCCCTTTTCTTTCAAGAGATAGGAAAACCAAATATGGTAAGAAATCAGGACAAACACCTAACACCGCGGCCGCGGATGGACCGCAGATTGACCGCGGATTCGACATATGTTCTGTCCGCGGCCGCGGATTGATCGCGAACCTGGGCGCTGCTTTCATCCTTGCTCTTTCTTTTCTTTTTCGATCGTGTTGTCCTCCAATTGGCCTTCCATGCTCCATATTGACTCCAAAACACTCTTTTAGCTTTCTCCTAGCTCGGAGTGGCTCCTGCAGAGCAATAAACTCGTAATTAGAGCATTTTGTTATCTTTTACAATCAAACATAGGTAAAGTGCAGCGAAATTAGAGTGTAAATATTAGATAACTTGCATGATTATCATCTATTATCATATGCATTAGAACCTAAATTGAGAAATTAATAGAACAAAATTAATGAACCAAATAGGAGAAACTAGAATTTAACTCTTGGTCATCTGGTGATACATTTGAAATGGAATGCTTTGATGTCACTGATAAATAAAAGTGTTGTACCAAAATGCCACAAAATCAAAATGCTTCTCTGAGAAGCCTTTATTTCCTTGTACAGTTGCCTCTGACTGGAGTATTCATAGTCCATTTCTCTCCATTGTTGTGCAGTTGTATTAATTCAAATTTAAAAAATAATCGAATTAGATTATTTCAATTTGAAAAATAATATCAAATGAATGAAAAGACATGAAGCTTTTGCGAGAAGCCACTTCCTTTTTTCACCTCCACTGTCTTTGATCACTTTAGTATATATATACAGAGGAAAGAGCTTTCATTGTCAATAACAAGCAATTTCAAAGCTACGGTACGTACTGACTCATTAACTGTGGTAAGTCGTTTTTCTCCTTTCTTATATTCATTATTAGTTTTACACTAAACGTTGTACTTATGTACATTGGCGGATCCGGGATTTTGGGTTCGTGGGTGCTTAACTTTTTTTTGACGTAAAATTACTACTAATATATCGTATAAGTATACAACTATTTAAATATGGAGATAAAAAAATTAATGAGAAAATTATAGTACCAATATGAACGACGCCGTAAAAATGTGATACAACAACAACAACGCAGCCTTTCGGAAATAGCCTCTCTATTCCTTCGGGATAGGGGTAAGGTCTGCGTCTGTTTCCAATAGACCATCGGCATCCTTCCCTCCAAGAACTTCCCACCTTGCTCTTGGGGAGACTCGAACTCACAACCTCTTGGTTGGAAGTGGAGGTTGCTTACCATCAGAGTAACACAATTTACGGTTCTGGAGGAATCCTTGGTTTTTAAAAGCAGATATTCTTTTCTTTCTTTGCTATGGTGAATTAGATAAAGTAACAAAAGAAAAGCAAAAGAAAAACAAAGGTAAAACAAAGTTAGAACCAAAAGAATAAAAGTAGTAGTATTTGCTAAACAAAAGTCGTGAAAACCGAAAGAGCAAAATAGATGACCTAATAATTAATGGAGCAAAAGAAAGTTAGTGCTTGATATTAGAGCCCGTAGACTTTTAGAGCCCTTCATCACCCATCATAAACCAAAGCACCCACCAAGCCTTTTGTTATTTGGGTGCTTGCTATTGTGTTATATTCCTTTTTTTAAATTCTCTATATAATTATACGTGTTCGGGGTCGAGGTTAATGGGTGCTCAAGCACCCACTTTTTTATATGTAGATCCGCCCCTGCTTATGTATGTTGATTCAAGAATATTAATTTTTTTTTGCTGAGCTTCACATTAAAATTGAACTATGGTTTTCTTGAGCTTGAACTTCACTCGGCTGTAGTTTTATGTTATTTATTGATACTGAAATATTTACATAAAAAGAGAGCTATGAAAAGAAATACTATATGGATTTGCTAGTGTTGCCAAGTAAGCAATGTTAAGTCTGGATGTTGCTTACCAAGCATTATTGTAGCAGTTATTTGAAGGAAATGTCAATATTTTTTGATGTCTAGTAATATTGTTTTATAGTTTGCTGGTGTTATATTTTACAGACGGATTTCTATCTACTCAGGAAGTATACCTTATATCGTCCTTATGTCAACGTTTGTCCCCGAGGTTTCGGACAGATTATCAACAAATAATCATGTATCTCGAAACAAGGTAATTATTTTATGTTTTGCATTTGTGTTAGTTGCATTAATGAACATCAATAGTTTTAAATTCATAATCTATTATTGTTGTTGTTGTCTATATTAGAAGCGGAAAGCAATGAGCAACATCGGAGCAAAACAAGAGAAGAGAACGATTGAATGGTTGAGAAACAAGTTATACCACAAAGTTGTAAAAATGGGAAATCCCCTGACATCCCTGAACTGGGATGATATTACTCATCTACACAATATTCATAATACACATGAGTTATGCTGATCTTGGCTGAATCTTGAAGACTAATGGGAAAGTATTGCTCAATGTTATTATTTGTGTTTTGACTAATGGGATAAATGAT